TATGGCTGGGACTTCCTGGGATTCTAATTTCAGATGCAGTCTTTAAAAGTTCCTGAAAAACTGAGCTAATTTCTCTGTGCTCTGATCTATAGCAGATTCGTGTTTCTTCTACTGCTCCTCCAGGTATGCAACCTGATCTTTGCTCACTTATGAAGTACTCACCACTATCTGGAATTTATTTCATTTAGATTTTTTTTTTTGCATTATTAGCTCTTTGAAAAATTATGATTTTGTTGCTTATCTAGCTTGCTCTGCTTGTTGGAGTGGAAGCAATGTGTCGTGCAATTTTCTGTATCCCAAATGAAATAAAGATGTTCTTTGTAAAGTTTTTAAAATTCTCACTTAAGATGCATGGAGAAAAGACAAATTTTCTTATGATTGTCTCAATGGCTTTTCATCCTAGTAGGAACATTCAGTGTATTGTTTGTAATATATGAACTTGGTGATATGTTTATGATATGTGAACTTAGGAAATTCAGACAATATTCTTAGACAGGACTTTACATCATGCAAATCCATTCCATTTAAAGTGTGTGCAGTACTTCCTAATTTTAAGGTATTTGGAAAATGTCAGTAATGCATTTAAAATCATAATGACAATTGCATGTTGGAAAACAGTTCGTTGAATCATTAGTTTGAGAAAAGTGATAAATATAGTTTGGTAACTGGTTAAATCTAGTTTTATGGCTTTTTGAATTAATAACTTTGGATCTGTGATAGTTTCGGGAAAATGTGCTGATTTAAGGAACTCACATTTTAACATTGCACAGAAAACAGCTCACTGGAGAATTGGTACTTTGTATAATTATAATCATTATTAACTCTATTGGTCAGCTTCAAAGGATATTTTTATGCTACTTTTAATTAATTAGTACATTATTCTTAAAAGATTTCTGAAGACTGTATCAGGGATTGGGATTTATCTTAAATATATTCCAAAGCCTTACAAGCCCCTATATTTTAATACAATAATTTCTGATTAAAACAAGGTGACTCTTCAAGAATCTGCATTCATCAGATGGCAGATATCATTGAGATGGGGACACTTTTGCCAGGTCCGACTAGTGAGTGGTATGTAAGTAGAAGGACCTTAGCGGCCCCTGGTAGCAGCTGGGGCTCATTAACTGAGAGTAGGTACTCAACTGTGTTGTGTTCTTTAATGTGGTCTCCTTAACTTACACGCCATAATTAGGATAAGAGGGAAGGGTTTCTGGAGAATTTTCTTCTATAAGCAATACTCTGTTATAGAAATATAAGGTTACTCACATTCTGTGATGTTTGTTCAGTTAGGAAAAAAAGTCAGTACAAAGTCAAGTAGCCTTAGACTGAAGACTTATTGAATTTCTCTGCTAAGAAAAATGAAAACAGTCACAGATTTTCCAAGGCAGGGATAGGAACTTTGGAAATTAAATTTAGAAACTGAGTGTCATTTGGTTTTATTTCTGCCTCTGCATGAGGTCTCCTGCCCTGACTATTCAAGCTCACCTGCGGGGAAGCGTGGCTCTGAAAACCCAGTCCGCGTGGGAGCTCTGGTGCTGAGTCTGGCAGGGTTGACTCCAGCCTCCTTCATTTCCTGGCCGTTTGACCTTGGAGTCATCACAGTGGGTCCTCCCATAATGGTGTTTTGTTCAACATCGTTTTGTTATAACATCGATGATAAAAAGCAAATCGATTCCTGCCTGGGCCCCTGTGTGGTGTTTGTACCTTTCCCCACATCTGTGCGGGTCTCCTCGGGGTCCCCCAGGCTCCCGCCACATCTCAGAGGTGTGCATGTGTCGGTTGGCGTGTCTACCTTGCCCCAGTCTGAGTGAGTGTGGGTGTGTGTCCTGTGACGGAACGAGTGTGTCCTGCAATGGAAGGGCGTCCAGTCCAGGGTGGGCGCCGCCTTGCGTCCTGAGCTGCGGCCAACTGCGAAGCTGAACTGGAATAAGCCAGTTGGAAAATTATCTTACTTGTTTTTATCAGTCTTTCTGAAATGTATATCTAGCTCATATTTATTTCATTGTTTAATATTAGGATGTTTTGGGTCTTTATTTAAAAGTTGGGTGATGTTTTGGTGAACAGAAATATGTTTAGCGCAATTAGCCTGTGGTCAAATTGCTTTCATTATATGTGCTTTTCCTTGAATTTGCAAGAACCTATCAACAATGGTGACTAATTACACTTACTTCTTTCAGGCTAAATCTCTTTGTTGCTGAAATGGAGCAAAGATTACACACAACTTTATGGATCATCAAAGCATTAATTGAGATAATTTCTATAGCTGGTGTAAAACGAATGTTTTTTTTTTTTTTTCTGCTGTAACTATAATAGAAATAGTAAGTCTGAATAGTAACCTACTTCTGTAAGTGTCTTTCTTGCTTTTTCTGGCTGTCCAAAAATGAACGGTTATTTCATGTCCATTCGTATGTGCTTTCATTAACTAACAAAGGGGCATCAGATCAGCTACACCTATGCCTGGTGACTTAGACTCTATTGGAAATTGAAAATTGTTTACATTTCCTTCCACTGATTAAAGGACCATGTCAATTTATATGAAACATTCTACCTAGTTTAGATTTTTTTGCTTAGTATTGATGCAAGTAATTAAAATTAGGTTTAACATTTTCCTTAAACATTAGCAATCCCTATGTGAAAATATATGTATAATGCTTCTCATTACTGAACCCATATTCCATCAAGTGTGAATTTTTGACACTGGGAGGTCTCTACTTATTTACATCACTTTGGAATAAAAAAAGAACTATAGAGTAAAGATGGCCACATCTCATTTATTCTTAATTTAATGAAATAGCATATATTAAGGAAGCAATTGTTTACGCTACTTACTAGTAATATTTTTTTATGGCTTCCCTAATTCAGTCTCCAGAACAGAAGGGAATATTTCAGTGAAAAAGAGAAATATAAAACAGAAAAGGTAGCTATGCAACTATCCCTTAACTGCCATTGTAAATAATTTTGAGATACAGAAAAGGGAATTCCTCGGAAGAATGCTTGTTCATTGTAGTTGTTTGTGTGTGTGTTTGTGCATCTGCGTTTGCATGTAAAACATTTCTCAGCATGGAGATAGATATTAACAAAATTCATTCTACCTAATGAGGGATACAGTAGCTCTATAACTCATCTTCTTGCTTCTGAGCTTGCATCCCAGTTTCTATTATCGACAAGGTACCATACTTATCTTTTTAAAACATAAGCCAAGTCGTAACACTTCTGAGCTCAAAACCCTTCCCGTTTCACTGTGAATAAAAGTCAAAGTCCTCACGGTGGCCAACAAGGTCCCCTACTGTCTTCTCCCCCTTACCTCTCTGATCTCATCTTCTACTGATCTCATCTTCTCTGACAGGAGCTTCAGAAACCTCCCCTTCTCTGTAAGGTGATGCTATTTTTGGTCCCTGCTTTGCAAATGAGGAAACTGAAGCCCAGAGATTCCTTAATCTTAACTGGCACTCGGACTTTATTATTCATTCATTAAACATTGAATTCCTACTATGTGTCCAGCACTGGCTGGTTGTTTTGAGTATACAAATGGTTAAAACGTTATTTTTGTCCTCAAGAAGCTTCAGGCTAGTGGGGGAATGAGGTGCATACATTGAATACAACCAAATGGTGCATGAGGTGCAATCGTAAGGTAGTGTATGGGGCTGGAAACCAGGAGCGCAAATCCAGCCCCAGCCTGGAGAGGTAATGCTAAGCTACCTGGAGAAGAGGACACCTATGTGACTGACTGTTAAGGAGGAGAGGAAGTTGACTAAGTTTGGAGTGGAGGGAGGTCCTTCCAGGCAGAGGCACAGTGAGAACACAGACAGAGAGCAGGAAACAAAGGATGAATGGGGAGCGCCGGAAGAGGGTGTTTCAAGACCGGAAACTGATGACAGGGCAGTGAGTGAGCAGTAAACAGGCTGGATCAGGATCACCTTCGCCACTCTAATGTCCTCGTCTCTTTCGTGTCTTGCCCCGTTAGCCTCAGGCTTACTTTGGAAAAATCCCCCTCTGTAAAGCACGACTTTAAAGGGTAAATTCACTTTAATGGTTTATGAACCCGTGATGCCTGACTTTAGTTCCTTTCCACCCTCTACCACGCCGATGGCATTTGTTCTGTCGCTTACGTATTCACCTCGACAAGGTAACCACACCTGATATTTTTCCTCCAACCCTGTCTGCCCTGGTCTTCCCCATACCAGTAAAGGGCACTGGTGTTCACTTACTCGCTCAGGCCAAAAAGTTAGGAAGTGCCTTGCTTTTTCTCATTCTCACACAATCTGCATCCGGTCCATCAGCAAATCCTGGCAGCAGCAGGAGCTTCAGAACATGTGTGGATTCTAACCACTTTTTACCTCTGTCCACAGCACCCTCTCCTCTCACCTGTCTTATTTCAGGAGAAACCCAATCGGTCAGCTCTGTAGTCCGTACTCTACACAATAGCTGTAGTGGGCTTTAGACCTGCTCCTCTGCTAACCAACCCCGCCCCCCACCCCATGGCTTCCCATCACACTGAGAATAAAATACCAAGTTGTCACCGTGCCCCCCGGCCCTCTGTGATATGCACTTGTCCGTCAACTGCTTCTCTCACTCCGTCCCTCCTCCCTTGTACCACTTCATCCACCGCGCCCTTCCCATCCACACACCCTGCTTCATCTGCATCTGCTGATGCCGAGCCCACTGTTCTTTCCCAGACGTTGCCATGCCTCAGTTCCCTGAGGACTCTCCTCAAATGATAGATAGCTCTTTGGGGGATTCTTCCCCAGCTACGAGGTCCTCCCTCTTCCCATGATCCTGTTTTATTGTTCTTCATAGTACTCACCTCCACCGGAAACTGAATTTGAAATTGTATTTAGTGATTCATCTTTTGCGCGTCCAGGCCTTTTTATCCTTTATGCCTAATGTCTACGACAGAGCCTGGCGTAGAGTGACTGTCTCGTTTATGTACCGTGACTATCTCATTATCTCATTGACCATCACAATGACTCTCATACTGTGAAGCTATCGTTCCTTTTCATCTAGTGACAAGAGAGAAAATTCTGCAGATACTTCAGGACTTATGCATTAGTTTCTCAATGGGACACTCACTCCCAGTAGATTCAGGATACAATTCAGGAATGTGAGATTTTGAAATCCAGTTCCTGCCATTATTCTTTCATCAGAACGTAGGATTTTACAATTGAGAAGGAGGAAGCAGCTCATTTACATTTTTCTGATCCCCTAAGCTCTGTGTCCTCAGCCTCCCCAGTGCCTCAGAGGCAGTCCTGGCCAACTTGGAAGAGAAAGAGGGTTCCTGTCCACCCTGGGAGGCATGGTCTGGAATTAGTTTTGCTGTCCCTAATCAAATGTCCTGGGATGAGCGAGGACACATATTTTCCCATGGAACTTTAGGCTGATGATCCGCCCCAACAGTGTATATCTACACTATAAAATTGGATTCTACCTCATTTCTAATTTTTATTCCAGTTCTTTATCAGGCCTGGGGCCCGAGCCTAAATCCCATGGCATTTGAAGGAAGCCATCACAAGAACAGTTATTCCTTGTTAGGTGCCACTCTCTCTCTTCACACCCCCTCTTCTCCTCACTCTCGCTCAAGCAGCATCTACTGGGATCACTTTCAGCCCAGTGACACTGCACCATACACTCCCATCTCTCTGAATGCTGTCACTGCTGCCTGGAGTCTGCTTGCTGAGGTGCTCAGGGCTTCCAGACACTCTCCAAACACTGGGCCTAGTTCTGATATGTTTTAATTTGCCATTCTGTTTACCCTTTATATTATTTGCATTTTCAAGCTCCAAGCCTTCCAAATAATTGTCCTAAACCATGTTAGTTATCCTCACTCAGACTAGAGACAGTTTCATTTACATCCTCAAAAAGCTTCTTCTTGAGGACCTAGGATGAGTCAGGTCCTCTGAAACCAAGAAACTATTGATGTCAGGGGGTATTTTCTATTTTTCAATATTTAAGCATATCTGTTGTGTCTTTGTGGTTGTATAACAAAACTCATAGATAAAGTTAGAACAGACGGTAGCTTTTTCTTCATTATTTTACATAACCTAAGTTGGAAAAATTACATGAAATATTTTTTAGTTATCATAGCTTTTTGTCCTCGAAAGAAAGTTTTCTTGTTTACCCAGCATCCAGCTTGCCTCATGAATATTCAGCTGTTGACAGAGCTGCAAGCCAATATCCATGGAAATGAACTCATTAATAGGATTTTGCTGGCTTCTATTTGATTTATGAAGTACGTAGAGGTATTTATGATATTTTATATTTTTATTTTCCTCTTGGTTTTTGAAACAGTGGGATTATTGATAATAATCGTTACCCAGATTTTCAAATTTGAATTTATTTTTTCTCATATTTCTTGAATATATAAGCAGATGCTTTCAGATATTTGCCTTCTTGCAGATTGCTGATATAATTTTTATAAAGAACGCTATAAATAAAAACTATGGTTTAAAAACAGCTTTTAAGTATTTTAACATATTTATACATACATAATACCTATCTTTTTTATTAATGCATTTGTTATAACTGGCTATGTGGATATTGTAAAAAAGAACGATTCTCCTTCTTGAGGGTCATCCTTCAGAGATGAAGTTATTTAATGAAAATAGCACCTAGCAAGTATATTTGAGGATGTCAAATAAAATAGAAAAAAATAGTAATAACAGCATGCAGGCATATATTACTCCTCGAATTGCCATTTGCTTTACATACATCAACTTATTTCACCTTTATAGCAAGTCTGTAACAGTAGATAACACATGACTCTCATTTTTACAAATATGGAGACTCTACCTGAGAGAGGTAGTTACTTGTGAGTGTCTAGTAAGTGGCAGAGTTGAGACTTTAACCCCAATGGACTGGCTTCAGGCTTCAAGCTCTTAACCCCTTCACATTCTTGTCTTCTATTATATTTTGGCAAAGCCTGCAAACTTGATTGCCTATTGTTGCAACACCTCTGCATTCTTTCCCCGCTTAGAGTGCCATTTGTTTCAAACACTAATTACCTGGGATGTTTTCTGCACTCTCTTCTGTTCCATTGGTTTATTTGTCTATATTAGCCCAACACTAAACATTTTCATTGTTATTCGTTCATTCCTTTTAGCAACAGAGCTTGAATAGAATGAAAAAGGAAAGGAAACAAAACTACAGACTAAGAAGTGGATGGTATATTGAATATTTGGGCATGAGGAAGGGAGAGACGGGAATATGGTGAGTCAGAAGGGACAATAGGATGTTGATAGAAAAATTGTATGTGTTCTAAGGATAAGCATGGACAATATAGAAGTCAGCTTTAAAGGTTAAGTAGATCTATTAATTTCTGAATAAAAAGTCATTTATATTAGTTGAAACAAGTATTTATCATGAAGCAAATTTAAATATCTTTTTCTATACCTCAGGTGGTTGCACAGTGAGAAAAAAGTGTGAGAAAAAAAGAGGGTGGTGGATGCCAGGGAGAGATGGATCTGCAGGTTAGACTCCTCGGTTCACTTTTCTAGGTTGTTTTCCAGCATCAAATACGTCTCCTTCCCCCATCGCTTACATTTCCTTTTCATGGGAACTGAATTCTCAAATAACGACTTAAACAGGAATAGTGTTCTGCATTTTAAATTCGGGAAATGACCAGCTTCCTGTGCCAGAGAAAAATTTGTGCTTGAGAATATTATCTATATGAGGTGCTTTGTACTTCCCGCTTAGCCTTTTCTTTCATTGTGCTGTGTTTCTTAAGTTATCTGATACCAATGTAAATTCCTGAGCAGCACAATATGAAGTATTATATTGGAGACACAATAGTCTCCTGGCATCTCTGTATAAATATTTGTGTAATATTAAAAATACAGCAATTTAGCAGATATTAAGGAATGGTTTCGCAAGTATGTTCATGTAAGCTCATGAACTGCCTTTTAGAAATCTGTTCCATTCCATAGTGAGCACTGACTGACACCATGAAACATGCTTTTACTTGAAATGCCACCAAAAATCGTGGGACATTTGAAATATTAATTGCGTTATAATTCTAAACTTAATTAAAAGTTCATCATTTTCATCAGACTTAAAGTAAGCTCTTTTAAAAATATCGAGTTGTAACATATAAAGGATTTTAATTTAGTTTTGCAACCTAGCCTAACACATTATCTTTGTTTAATGGTTCTATTGGTGCTATAAAGAGTTGATAGCATCCAGAAGAGCTAAGACAACTTCAAGAATATTAGTTTTCCTTTCTGTACGTGACTTTTCTATAGAAATATTTTCAGATTGGCTTGTCATTTTATTTCATCAGCCTGTGTGAGTCTTGTCCATACCCAGATCTTTTAGCAGCTCATTGAAATCAAAGCCATGATCTGGCCATGCTCCATGTACATTTTTCAATTTTTATTAATAATTTCTTCTCTAAGTCCTCTCAAGGATTATGGAGATAGGTTCTCTTCTATATTAGCACTTTACAGTTTGATCTTGAGTTAATTTTTTCCGGCTCTGCTATTTGTTAATGTTTAAATGTCTGGAATGTCTCAAAAATATAGAGTTTGACATGTACCACATTTAGAGATCAGCCTAGAATTCTGTGCAGAAAAGAGCAACTACAATATGGAATATGTGTATGTGTATGTGTATGTGTGTGTGTGTGTGTGTGTGTGTGTGTGTATACACATTTACACACACATATATGTATATATATTTAAATAAACATAGTAAATTTCCCCCTTTCACAAAACTCTTGAATTATTTGTTTTGAAATAAAGGAATGATCCAGAAGTTAGAGGGTGTTGGATCAATTTCCTGTTAATAGAGGAGCAGAGCGAGTTAGGAGCCCACCTTTTAGTTCCGTTCTCTATAGTGTTAGTAATAATTATAACCACAGTAGAGATAATAGAACCATGTCTGTGGATGTAGCAGTAATAACAGAAATACCAGTTAACATTTATTTGGTCCTAATTATGCACTGTAATTATTATATAGCACTGTACAAAATGTCAGTGAAAATTACCTCTGCGTAATTCTCTTCACTTCTCTGTGAGACAGCTATTATTATTATTATTATTAAGCTGATTTAATGAGCAAGCAAGCTAAGGCTTAGATCCTAGGCTGTCATAAATGCTTGCCACAGGGCCAACTCCAGCCCGAGGGGACATCCTG